ACGGCACCTCGGTTATCCGGCATGGGGGGGGGGTGCTGCTGGGGGCCACAGTGGCCGAGACCCCTGCCCCGAGGCAGCCGGGGCTCTGGACACAGGCGCACCATGTGTCCTGACTTGCGTGTGGGTGTGGTATGCGTCCTAGCCGCGTGTCACAGCCCTCTTCCTGCAACCCCTGCAGCCCTGGCTCAGGGAGGAGCACCCAGGCTCTTGGGGATGCTGGCCCGTCCCCTCGGAAGCTCTGAGCGTGGAGTGCAACGTCTCGCTGTCCCGCTGCTGTCGCCAGCAGGCTGGCTCGCGTCACACTCTCCTCTGCCTTCTCTTCAAGCAACAACACAGGTCCCTTCGCTTGGGCAGGTGCTGTCCCCTGCCCTCCTTCCTCACTGTGCGTCGCGTTGCCATGTCGCCTGCTGTTATTCAGCTTTTCACTACTCTTCTTCCTTCTCTTCCACCATTTTTAGCCCATTTTTGGTGTGTTCTGTTCAGTTCTTGTCCCTCTGTCCCATTCGCCATCCAGAGAAGCAACTCAGAAACCACCTGGACATTGTCACAGCAGTGAGAATGTGCGAGCCCTGCCAGACACAGGCAGTTCCACTTTCGACTACGTAAACGTGAAATAATTAAAGAATACCATTGTATTTCTTTATACCTGGTTCCACAGAGACAGGGTAAAGAATAATCACTCCTGCCACGAGCAGATGTTTGCCAGTCTGGGGTTAACACGGGAAAACAGGTGTGTGCATACAGAGAGGCTGCATCGAAAAAGACTCGTAAAAACGCAACTGCATCTGCGCCGTAGAATATGCTTTACACCCACTTTGAAAACACAGAGCCGCCCACGTTCTCTTTCCTGAGCAAATAGTACATTATGCCAGCTGCTTATTCTACTGCTTTTCCTCAGGGAAGGAGTAGAGGTTACAAAAAGTTAGTTGGCTGATATAATTCATCCACTTACTGCAAGACTACACACACACACACACACACACACACACACACACGTAATATGTGTAAAGCCACCATGAGCCCATGTTTAATATTTATGGAGGTATTTAGATCATTTAAGAATTCCAAACTTTTGTGCAATGTCATGTATGTCATAGACTGCTGTTCTTAAAGTACCAGAAAAAACTATATATTTCACTGAAGGCAGTCCCCAGAGTCATTTTAAAAAAACTTTCTTGTTATTTACACAAAAGTCAATTTTTTTTAAAAATATGTTTTTATTGATTTTTAGAGAGAGGGAAAGAGAGAGAGAGAAACATCGATCAGCTGCCTCCTGCGTGCCACCTTCCAGGGATCACGAGCCCGCAACCCAGGCATGTGCCCTGGCCGGGAATCGAACTGGTGACCTGTCTGTGCATGGGACAGCACTCAACCAACCGAGCCACACTGGCCAGGGCAAAATTCAATTTTTTACAGAAGCATTTGCATCCTGTGTCATGCATCTTACAAAATCCAGAATAGGCTGCTTTTCACAGAAACTTAAAGAGGAGATGACTTTTCTCCCCAAAGCATAATTTTGTATTGGTGTGTTAAAATAGCTTTAGGTAAAATTTTAGGCACATGGAAAAAGAATATACAGAGAATGTTAACATAAATATGAAATAGAAGAATGTTACTGTGTTTTAAGCTAGAGCTTTCATGTCGAACACAAAACCCATCAATTATTAGTTGATTCATATGTGGGTTTTTCATGGCTGCCCAAGTTAATGAGCCATGGAAGTTTTCTGCAGAATCACAGGGATATCTCGAGTCTAATTAATTTCTTGAAGTTTATTGGGAGAGTGTTGTTACAAGAAAAAAAATATTTTTTAACCTGCTTACAATGTTGCTTTAAAAATCTGGAATTTTCTGATAAAGCTTCTGTTTTAGAACTGAAGTGAAATAAAACAAAAATAGAAATGGTGCATCCCCACCTCCTCTCGCCCTACCCCCGAACCAAGCTGCCACTCCCACCAGCTGACTCAGAACGGCTCCCTTTCTGCCGTGGCTTCCGTTACAGCGAGCCCTTGGGCGATCCCCACGCAGGAGAGGCTGCTGGTCACCTCCTGCCGCCTGCCGTCTACAAGCAGCAGGCGATGCCTTGATCTGGGAGCTGTGGCAGCTTTGTCACCTGTCTGAGCCAAGTGGCCGTCCCTGGAAGCACGCTTCCCTCTGCCTCCCAGAGCACTCTGCGCTTTTCACAGCTCCTCCTGACATCTGTACCCATGGTATTCAGTGCTTTCTGTTTAAAATGCTAGATGAGAATTTAAAGGGAAGTTCAGAACCCAGGTATTCATTTTGGGCTTTCCCAGGTAGCCTTCCTTAACCTCTAGGACGCTGTTCTGTTACAGGAGAACCGTGAAACGAACTTCTGGGACTGCTGTTCCCTGGCGGGAACCTTGGGCCTTGCCCGCACTCAGCCCTTTCCCTTGCAGTGTCACCTTTAAAAAAATTACAGGGCGAGGCTAGACCTGGTGTGAAGTTATCTTTGCCAAGCACTCTGTTTCATCAGATGTTAATCCCTGTGTCCTACTCCGTGATGCAGGGCACATCCTACCCGCAGGGGAATGATACGTTTTAAGTGATTTCTGAACATGGGCCCTGAAGACTGTCTGCCACGTGGCCCACCTTTGCACATCTCTACATAGTTACAACTGAGGAATTCGACAGCGTAACTCTGATTCTGATGAATTAAGAATGTGTAAAAACAAAGTTCTTGCATTACAGCTCGTTCCTTATCTTTGTGTCTTTTACTGTGATGTTGTAGAACTTGGATCATATGGAAAACTAAAATATTATGACACAATGACTGAAGAAGGTAAGAATGATTTTAGAATTGTATGCATTGGCTTTCTTTCATTTATGGTGTCTGTTGCTTGCCCATTTTTTTAAGTCATTTTTTCCCTCTTTGCATGACTTCGTGACACTGTGTGAGTTATTCTTTCTGCATTTTTGTCTAGTTTTTGCCATCGTGTTTATTTGCAGTTGGAGATGTGCAATACCATGGGTAATCCTGCCATTCCACTCAGACGATCCAAACCATCATGACTGTGTTACACACTCCGAGAAATGGTGTCAGCAATGTAAACACAAGCACACACCCACTGTGTCAGCATTGGTTCCTCCACATGCTCACGACAACATAGAGGAACACATCCAACCAACACTCTTCTCACAGTGTGCCCTTCATTTCGGAGAGGGGTATATGTCCTGGTGATATTCTGACTTATGCAAAGGAATGAGTGATCTAGAGTAATTCCTAGACCCCAAACCAACTGGAGACCTGATTCTGGTTCAGAGGGCTGCCGGCTCATGTCCTCAGCTCCCACAGTTCCTGTTGACTCAGCCAAGGGCAGTGCTCCGAGAGGCCAGGGTCACCATTCCACCCAGTAGAATTGTATATATTGAGATTCGCCCTCTGTGAGCTCAGGCATTTCATCTTAACCATTTCCCCTGGGTAAATGAAGTCTGACAGAGATTTATTTTTAAATGTATTTACTAATGAATTCCAGGCACTATCCCAGAGCACAACCTCGCCCCAGTCGATCCCTGTTCTGGAATAAGTTCTCCATGGGACAGCAGTTTCAAAATCTTGCATTCTTGTAAAGGGAGCTGTCCTTTGCCCTCTCCCCCGCCTCACTCCACACATACCTCTACCTTTTGAATAATAAATAATACGTGTAAGTTACAAAAAACATTTGGGGTTTTTACGTGAGTTTTACACTGATATTGACAAGATAGCCAAAGGAACCCTAGAAGGGGATCAGCTATTTTTTTCCTTCAACGTGAGAGATACTCCCAAATGTGTTGCATATCTTGTTTTCGGCCTCTGGTATGTCTGAGTGGCCTTAGCTTGCCAGAGATTTCCCAGTTGCTTTGCATGCAAGAAGCAGAACATCTGACAGCAAGGGCAAGCCCCCTCGCAGCCCTCCTCACTCTGGCTTCTGCACTACACCCAGGTCCTTCTCTGCTGCTATCCCTGTGCTTTCAAATAACCACTGTGATGTTTCCTAAAGCAGCAGGCTCTAGGGTTAGGAGCTCAGACTGGGCTGTATTGTACCCCAGTGTCCTCCCACCAACTTAGGGAAATGCAGACCCTTGGGGCAGTGAGAGCAATTACCTATGGGAATAAGTGTCCTACCACTAAGAGGATAGGGAAAGCCACCCAACCCATACCTTGAAGGAAGGCCCCTGTCCCAGCTGTTCTTTTTATGCTGTGTCTTGGGACCACTTTGATTTTTAGTAGTGATTGGTTTGAGAAGCCAAAGCTTGGGACTCGCCTACTCGCTCCTCCGGCATCTCCCTAGCCCCCAGCCCCAGTTTCATGGCTCAGGTGACAGGTTGGTTGTTAACATCTACCTGACCTGTCATGGCCCTTTACCCTCTTTACTCCATCCTGTCCTTTGCCTCCCACCATTAGGTTCCCGTGGCCAAGGCAGCGTCCGCCTCCCTGTTGCCTCAGTTGCCCCATGTCTCCCTCACCCAGTTTCTTTCCTCTTTCCACATCCATTTGAGCAAGGGTTGCTGTCTAAACGCCCCCTTCCTCTTCCTCCCTACACCAGGTCACAAGAAGATGCCAAAATGCTACTTCCAATTTGATGATTCCACTTGATAATAGCTGGGCTTTCTAGGCAGGAAAACAAAGTCAAAATAACATCTGCAGTAGTAGCATTGGCTGCCGTGGCCCTGGCCCTGGCCCTGGCCCTGGCCCTGGCCCTGGCCCTGGCCCTGGCCCTGGCATGACTGAGACACTGTCAGGGCCACATTGGTCGCCTTAAACATTTCTTAACCCTCCCTTGCCTTTCCTTCCTGCATATCCCTTTGCATCCTGTTCTTAGCTGAACATTTATCCCATCATGGTGATAGCTAATAGTAACTAAGGCAGCATTTTAAAAGCGTGTTCTATGAAATGATAGTTTCAAATGATGTAAATAGGAATTTCAGAACAACCCAGGAAAGAAAGCAAGATTGAGTTCACAGTTGAGTAAGCGGGAGAGCTTCTCAGTTGTTAAGTAGGTTTCTTTACCAGGTGACGTGGAGCCTTCTTGGTACTCTGCACTGCATGCAGCACAGAGTAAATGGTAGAGGGGATGGAGTTTGCAGTGTTCCCCAGACTTCCTGGCTAGAGAACCCCTTCTTCCATGGAGCCTGTTGTGGAGCTGTTGGAAATGCCGATTACGGTGCTAACTTTTACCTAAAATAGGAACCTCTGAAAGATGAGTCTTCTGAGCACACAGCAGTCCCCCTCAGGTACTCATGGAATGCTGCTTTGGAACCGGAGGTCTCCATCCAGACACTGCAAACCACGCCCTTTGGCAGCTGCCTCCATGACAAGCCAGGCCTGGCTTAGACCTGATTCTGGGATTCCATCTAAAAGACTAGAACTAGCTCAGCAACCTCAGACCTGGCACCGCCATGCAGGGCTTCTTCAAACTTTCAAGAGCCTTTCCCCTCCCATTGAAAAGAATAATCACTGGGATTTATTCCCACTTCCACATTGTACAATTTAAGGATGTATAATGAAGATGAAGATGTTGGGGACAGTAGTGAACTAGCCAGCCTTCAGGAAATATCCCCCTCTGTTTCAGCATTTCTTTTCACAGTCTTAGAAATGTGACTAGCCATGGAGCAGAGCCTCATTGTAATTGACCATGGACTATTCATTATCTGTAACTATTTTCAGGGAATTTTCTGGATGTTGGGTGAAGTCAGCTACTTGCAAAGAGGCCTGTTTGTTTCCCCTAAAGTGGATAAAATGGAAAGATGGATTATATATGCCCCATCCTAAGAGAAATTGAGTGATGATGTCCTGAGTATAGAAAATTGTTCTGCACTTACTCAGTTTGTTATTTTAGCACCTCCTGTGTGCAGGTTACTCTGCTAGGTGCTTTGGGGAAACACAGGATTAAAAGGTTGGCAAGTGGGGGCCCCCATGGGACTTGCAGACAGGTGGAGAGATAAAACCCAGCAATCACTGAGGCACCAGGAAGAAAGGGGTAAGTACCATAAGTATTCAGAAGATGACACTACAAGAGGAGGAAAGATTGTTTTCAACTAGGGGAGAATTTGTGGAGAAAGTGATCTTTGAACTGGGCCCCAGAAGATCAGTAAATAGGAGTTGAGTTGGGGAAGGAGGAGTGGAAAGCTCTGCCCTACCATGCTGTCAGAGGGATGAAAGGATGGGGCACCTTTCCTTTGCTGGGTGCCTCCCACCTGCCAGGAGCAGTGCTCTGGGCTTTATATATTTAAGTCATTTAATCCTTATAATGATCCCACCAGGTAGATTTTATTTGAAGATGAGAAAAACCAAAGCTCAAAGAAATATTTTATTAAGATGAGGAAACTAAGACTCAGAGAAGCAAAGTAACTTGCTCTGGGACTCAGAGGTAGTAAGTTGTGATGTGGGACCTGAACTCAGGGCTGTGGTTTACCCCAGCCCGGCCCTCCAGCTCCCCTGGGTTAGCTGAGCAAGGCGGTGTGAGGACAGTTCAGACTGGCTGCAGCCCAGGGAGTGGGAAGAAAGTTTCGATGGAGACCACATTAAGGAAAGGTTTGAATCACAAACCAAGAATAAAGGCATCATAGAATGAACAATAAGGAGCGATTGGATAAGAAGTAAACCCCTACCTGAACACTTTACCATAAAAAGTTTATTTTAATAAAACAATATACTCACTCTTGGGCACTGAACAGAATCATGACATTTTTGCAAAATTTGTTCTTGCCGTTAGGGCATTTTCCCTCCCTTCCTAGAACCTAAACTGGAGCAGCTGGATGGGCCACACCCAACCTCCTCTCCCACCCAAAGCCAACCAGAATTGTATCGTCTCCTTCATCCATTCCCTAAGGCACAGTTAGTGCTGACTGTGTCCCACAACCCTCAGTATGTCCCAGGCACTAGACTGGGTGCAGGGCCTGAGGAGATTAAAGGCAGCCCTTCTCGTAAATAACTCACACTCTGGTGGGGGACACAGGCAGAGAGGTGAACAGTGGGATGGGCAGGCCCGAGGTGCTGGGGGATCCCAATGGAAAACATCTCCACTGTCTCAATTCTGCTTCCCAAGATGACAACTGTCTCACCGGCCACCTGATACTAATGTGTTCACTTAATAGTCACATGCTCCATATGAGACATTTTACTAGACTTCCTTGGTTAGTGAGCTTTACTCCTCCCAAGGACTATATTTTCTTCTGCAACAACATGTTTCCAAAGATGCAAACGAATTACTCTAAAGTAGTCTTTTGGTGACCTCAGACCCCCTACATGAGCAGCCATCCCTCTATCTCCTCATGGGGTAAAACTGCCTATTCTTGGAAGAGCAGCCTCCAATTTCGCCTAAAGTTAATAACCCATAGTTTATTTCTAAAGTTAATAACCCATGTGAAATAACACAAATTTCATACCATTGTCACTCTAGACAATTCTCAATACACCAAACTTGGTTTCCTTACTAAAAGCACTCTAGATGAAAATATAAAAAGCTAGTTCAAAAGACAACAAGCTTATGTGATAGAACAAGATGACTTAAAAGGAGAAGAGACCTTTTCACCAATGACATTATAAAGAACTACTAATGTTTGCTCCTCAGAGATAAATATTCATAGAAACATATAGGTAGGTAGGTAGACAGAAATCCTGACCAATATCTTGCAAAGAAGTGATATATGGGGAAAGCTGCTTGCAATACATTATCCTAAACTTTTTGCCACTTAACAGAAGCCATCCCAAAAAAACAATTCCTCCACTATTTAAAAAGCCAATTTTTGTTCGCTTGTATAAGAAAAAAGTTGTAATATCAAGGGCAAAGATTATAATGA